TGAAGAGAAAAAAAGAACTTGAGTTACAGTCTGGAGTGCTTCACTATTTAAGCTTGATGTTTTTGCATACAGATACTTGGAGTGTGAATGTGTTGTGACTGAAGATGCTTGATCTGGTTCTAATATCCTGTTTAGTTCTTGCTTATACCCCATGCAGCGCTACTGGCTGGGGACAGAGTGGCTGGACAGTGGCCAAGCAGGAAGGACCCTGGGGGTACTGATTGACAATGGGCTGAACATGAGCCAATGTGTGCCCAGATGGCCAAGAAGGCCAGTGGCATCCTGGCCTGTATCAGGAATGGTGTGGCCAGCAGGAGCAGGGAGCTCATTCTTCCCCTTTACTGGGCACTGGTGAGGCCACACCTTGAGTGCTGTGTCCAGTTCTGGGCCCCTCAGTTTAGGAAGGACATTGAGATGCTGGAGCGTGTCCAGAGAAGAGCAGCAAGGCTGATGAAGGGTCTGGAGCACAGACCCCCTTGTGGCTGAGGGAGCTGGGGTTGTTTAGCCTGGAGAAAGGGAGGCTCAGGGCAGACCTTGTTCTCCACAACTGCCTGAAAGGAGGCTGTAGCCAGGAAAAGCTGTCTCTTCTCCCAGGCAACCAGCAACAGGAGAGCAGAGTCTTAAGCTGCACCGAGGGATATTTAGGTTGGACGTCAGGAAGAAATTCTTCACAGAAGGGGTGACTGGACACTGGAATGGGCTTCTCCAAAGAGGTGGTGTGGTCACTGTCCATGGAGGTGCCTAAGAAAAGATTGGATGTGGCATTTAGTGCCATGGTCTAGTTGACAGGGTGGAATTTGGTCATAGGTTGGACTTCATGATCTCAAAGGTCTTTTCCAAAGTAACTGGTTTTGTGATTCTGTGATTCTTTGTGTATGTGATGCTTGTTTAAGTTTCCTGTCCTCTTGCAAATTAAGGTGCTCCTTATCTTCACTGTCTACTGGAGGAAGATGTAAAGAAAAATACTTTTCAGTGTTTTGAATAATGAAAGTTATTAGTATGCTTTTCTAAGAGAAATGTGTTGATAGGCATATTCCATCAATAAAGATCCTATTCTGTGAACCCAAACGTCCATCCATGGAGCTTTCTTCATCCATGAAGGGTAAAGATGAATGATGGCTTCATTACTCTTCCATTACTCTTGTATTACCTGATATACATCTATCTCAGGGACATGAAATACCTCTGCATTGTGGTTTTCAAAACTTAATACAAATGTTATTCTAGATTAAATGAAGTGATTGAAAATGTTGCTTGTAGTTCTTTCCTAATGTCTAATATTTATGATCTCTAAGGTTGCATAGAAAGAAGCACTTTCTTTGAGTTTTACTAAAAATGGGATAGACATTTCTTAAAAGTCCTTTTAATCAAGCAGAAGGTAGTTCACCTGCATTTTATGAAGTTGTTGCTTGACAAATGCAGTTGTCTTGTGTGACTATATATGGGATGGGAGATTATTTTTTAGTGGCATAAACCATCCTGCTTAGAAAAGGATGACATATGCACATGAATGTGAATGTGTGTTTCCTCTTCCTAATTTTCTTGGGTTTAGAATATTAAATTTTTTTAATAAATATTTCAATATACTTGATTGAAATGCTGCATATGACCTAAAGGCATCCAATAGAGATCATCATGTCAATGCAGAAGGAAATAGAACAAGAAAGATAAATCTAAAGTTGTCATGTTGCATGCAAGCTGTCTGATCCTAAATTCATTTTTAGTCAATTTGGCAAATATGTATTGCTGTATTTGTACTGCCCTGCACAGTTGCTTGTGGCTCCTCTGCATATTTAAACAAATACAGATACTTAGAGTCATTGCTTTGCAATGCTTGTATTCTTCTATGCAATCGTTTCTATGTTTTGTGCAATGTAAGTTATTAGTGACTGTGTAGATTTGGAGCTGAGAATCACATAACAGCTTTGAAAGCAGTGTGGAAAATGCAATAATTATACATCCTTGATTGCTTTAACTGCCTTTGTTATTAGCCCACCTATACAGAGTATTATAATGCTATTATTTTATAATATAACTTTAAAAAATATAGTGGTTTAGAGTGAATTTCAGAAATATTTCCATTCATTGCTGGACACATTCCATCTACTTAAAGACCAAGATAAACACAGTGGGTTTTGTTATTTTATAACTGTGCCTTATTTTAAGAATGTCTATGGCTATCAGCATGATCAGTGAAACTTTCATTTCAGCAGCTGCTATAAAAACGTGATAGTTTCTAAAAACAACTGTTTTGAAGAAACTTTCACATAGAGGTACAATGGTTGTATTTATGTAATTGCTCTTGGCAACAGCTTCAGTAAATTTAAGTTAAAGTTCATCCATAAAATTAACTGACTTTCTCAATCCACTTGAACCTTGATCTGTTTTGGTGTAATGTTCTGGAGTTGGTGAAGAAGCTTTACAATTGGAGTCTGTAACCCCAAATGAGATTACACCACCTTCTTTTGATTCTGAATTTCCTGCTGTTGCAATATGTGCTGTTGAACAGAAATGAGGAGTAATTCCCTCCCAGACACTGTTGAGATTGCTCCCAGGGAACAGCGTTAGTGATGTATTCTTTCACTGCTAAAGACAAGGCATCCTATTGTAAACTTGGTTCTCTCTCAATGAGTTTACAAACTTGTTCTAAATAATTCACTTCATCTTGAAGCTCTGTTTCCCAGGAGACAAAATAGTTATTTTCTTAAAACCAATTTTTGCTTTAAGAACAAAGAAACCACATGGTTATTTTGAAGCTGTGGAACAGACATCCTTTATACCACAGACAATTGAGTTTTCACTGAGAGCCTTTTCTGTTCTTTTTTTAAAAATTATTAGTTGTGGATTCCTTATTGAGTGGATTGTATTGAGTCTGCATGAGTTGACTGCAAAATGTGGTGGTGTTTGAGCTCTCTCCTGCATAGGCAGGTTGCAGTGGGGCTGCATGTTCAGGAATGAACACAGAGCAGAATTCATTCATGTATTGCCCTCGCCACCAGCAACATATGCATAGTCCTCCCTTAGAGGAAAGCAACAAGAGCAGCCACAGTGAGTGTTTCTCTTCTGTGCTTTCAATTCAGAAACATTTCTACCTCCAAAGCTGGCATTGCTTTTCTCAGATGATCTGGTTGCAAACTGTGTTGCTGTTAAGTACTTCTACTGCAGGGCAGTTGTCTCTGGAAGATGTGCTGTTTCCAGTCTTTTGTGTTGGCCCTTCAAGGATCATGACATTAAATCACAAAATCACAGGAATACCCCCGAGGCTTTTACAGAGGGGCTACCTATCCAGGTTTAAGCACCTTTGAAGGAGGGGAGGTTTTGGAATAAAGATTGCAGCATGTCTATTTTCTACCAAGAAAATGAGTCTGTGCTGTGCAAACACATGTTAAGGCTGGATAACCAGAAAAGAGTTGAGACATGAGAAGGAAAGAGTAAGCTGCTTTTCAGACTTTTCTGCTTCTAAGGCATGACAGTTCTGGTTTTTGTAACACACACATTTATAAAGATCTCACAGTCTATTTTATAAATTTGAGGGAGTTTGGTGCATTCTGGTTGGACCCATGGCAGTTCAATGGGTATGATTAGTACTTTCTCATGGCCTTTGTTTAATACTGTGGGCATTTCAGTTATCTTACCTGAGTTTGTGTTTGGTTAGATGAAAAAACACTGCTGTATGATGAGTACTTGGTACTTTTTATCTTGCCGTGATAGTTCATTAATTTTACTAACCAGTGAAAACAGATTTATCTGACAAGAAGAAGAAAATAGAGATCCTCTTGTTTGGGCTCCAAGTTACTTCCTTGCAATGTTCACTGCATGCTTTACAGCATAGACTCTTGCCTTCCAGGAGTTATAACAGGAAAAACTCATTATGTTCTCATTTTCAGTGCTACACTAATTGTCTGGTGATGAATGGTAGATGAGATAATATGTCAGGAGATCTTCATCCCTTAGGGAGAAGAAGGTGGCAGAAACAATGATGATTTTTCACATTTTTCTGGATCCCACAACTCTGAGACTTGTTTGATATCAGCTAACCAGAGAGTGAGAAGCATCCCTTTGTGTATGGCCAGTTCTGAGCTGAACACAGGTGGAAGCTCCAGGGTCTCCTTCACTTTTTTCCTTGGTGCTGACTCATCATAGGTTGAATGCATCCTGCTCTTGGTTTTGTGCTATTGCACCATTTTACCACACTGCCTGTTTGGCTCAGAGTTTTTGTCTCTCCTTGACCTTTCCATTGTAATCATCATTGTAATCCATCAGCCCTTCAGCTCAAGGCCCAGCTGGGGAACTATCACACTTACAGTATTTCTTTGATGCTGCTTGTCAGCATTTGAAAGGCTCAGATCTGAAAGTGGATGTTTTTGGAGATGCCCATACTACTATTCTCTACTGTAGTCACAAAAGCTTCTTTGCAGAAAACCCATCTGGGACTTGCTACCATGATTTAAAATATCCTTATGACTAATGGAACTATAAAATATCTTGTCATTGTTGTAGCACGTAGGGGATCCAGTAATAAATTAGAGGTCCTCTGTGACAAGTACCATAGATATATAATAAAACAAAAACCTCTGGGAATGCTTCAGTCTGAGTTCATGTTTTTTCCTTATTCACCCAAAAATAGGGTTAATCAAATTTCATGCCTAAGGGCTTAAACAGATGGAATACGAAAGAAAATTTCACCAGTCAGCAGTGTAGTAGTCCTGCATCTCTAGAATGTATGCACTTTCATAATGTATGAGATAAAACCTTTTATTTAAACATTTCTCACAGCTTATGTAGTTTCACTTAGGCAATGGTTTAAAGTAGTAGAATCCCAGATTAATATTCAGCAACTAGAGAAAAAATGTTTAATTTTATTTGAAATATTTCTTCCCTTCCATTCTAAATGAAAATGCCAGCTGTGTGACAAAATCATTAAGATGCTTAACTGCTAAACGGAATTTTCTGATTCGGTGTTTTCATGTAGATATGTTTTCTCACAACTGCTTTTCCAGGTTGTATTGGTCAGTGGACATCTGGACAGCTGGGACGTTGGGCAGGGAGCTATGGATGATGGTGGTGGAGCGTTTATATCGTGGGAAGCGTTATCACTCATTAAGGATCTGGGTAAATCTTTAATTTAAAAATATTTTAATGCATTACATTTCCAGACATTTTGTATGATGTCTAAACTGGATTTTCTATTTTATCCATGTCTCTGAGCACAGATATTAATTTTGTCACTATACTCCTCAAAACTAGTTCAAAACAAACTTTTTAGATTGTTGAGTTGATATCCAAGGATGCTTTCTCCCCTTCATCAGATGGAATCTATTTTTTCTCCTTATTCCCTTTTTCCATAAATGTAACCTGTGGTCAAGAGGAATGCCCAATGTATTCATTAGAAACTAAAATCAGCTGCTGCTCCTGCTCTTATCTCTGGCAGCCTTTAAACAATAAAATAGCTTTCCCTGCTTCCCAATGGAAAGATTTGAGCACTTCAACAATCTCAGTCTTTCTTGAAGAGCTCTTTGTGATTAGCTGCTTGCATGCTGCAGTCATGAACATCAGACATCCCTATGAGTTCCTATTCCTTTATTTTGCATTGTTTGAACTTCAATCTCTCAATTTCCCAGCCTTGGAATGATTGGATTATCAATCTGTAGCTACAACAAAGTGCATCTGTTTAAATTTTTGGTCTTTTAAAAGAAAACTGAACAGGATTTTTCTACAAAGAATCCAAGTGTACTCCTTCTTTTAGTGTTTTTAATTTTTTAATTTTTATTATTTAATTTTTTTTTAATTGGTTGTGTTTCCTCCACCTTCAAGGAAAAGAAAATTATGCTGCTGTGTTTGCTACTCTATTCTATCCAGAATAAACTGTTGTGTGTTTCTTAAGGGCAAGTTCACGGTGGCATTGTATAATTTTTATTCACTGGCTTTCCCTTCACGCATGACTGAAATGCATCCCTTTCGTCTTGTTTAAATATTTGATTTCCTCTGGTAGCAGCCTGTGTGTTTGCTGTGCAACCTGTGGTGAAATGCTATTCTCTCAGCTGGGAAATGCTGGAGCCTTTGCTGATGCCCTCTGTTCTGGGCAGCTGTTGTGTTCTGCTCTTCTCGTACCAGTATTGTGCAGGAACACAAGGCTGGGAGAGGACTTCTGGGTCTTCATAGCTGTAGATAAGCAAGGGGCATATACCTTTTACAAACTGGCCTCCATAGTAGATTGATTAATGTAGATTTTATATCTTATGCATTTGAAATTTGACAAAAAAATAAAAATAAAAATAAAAAAAGGACAGCAAAATAAAAAGATGTGATGATTTTATGAGAAACAAATCAATGACTTATTTTATTTAAAATCAGTTCCACAAATTGTGTTTTGAATGAGCATTGTGTTTTGAACTGTGGAGAGTTTGATATCCTTTTGAACCCTGATAGATTTAGTCTCACACTAGTCCACCAAATACATTTGAAATGAAGATAGGCCAGCTCAGTTGGCAGTTTGCTCTATGCATGTGTAGAAACTTTTTACTGTGTCCAGGGAGTCTTAAAGCCATGGTGCATTGTGTAGCCATAAAAACTGTCTGCATTTACCAGAGTATAACTGATCTTACAGCTGTGGTGATATGATCCTCAATCTGAAATCAGCATTCTGAAATATGATTTCTAGAATATGTGTTTTTATTGTGCAGTAAGAAATAACGCCAGTACTTCTGCCATGGTCTGGCTAATGAAGGCAAAATACTATTACACTATTAAAGCAGGCTTTTCAGTGATGGTCTAATAGCATTTCATCATGATATCACTGTGACTCTTGGATGTGGCTTATGGACAAGACACAAATTATGCCTTTTAGTTTGGATTCTGAAAATTTCATGCAATACTTGAAAAATATTGTCATTTAAATGCAGTTCCATACTTTCAACATAGCCTCCTCCCAAAACCATTTAATAGTTATTGGCTTAGGAGCAAATATATTAAATTAATCGAAAGATCATTAAAATTATGGTGTAAGATGGTAAGATTTTCTTTTAAGCAATACTGTTTTCTTGCCTCAAGAAAAATTTTTAATAGTTCTTGGTTTTATTTCTAAGTAAATCAGTTACTTAATGTATTGGCCTTTATACTTCCTCATATTTCCTTAATCTTCAGTGTTAGCTTTTCTTTTTTTAATTGAGATGGCAATTTCTGTGCCATATTGGTATATTTTTTCTTTTTGTTTTGCTTTTGGGTTTTTTAGCTTTTCAGACACCATAATAGTTACACACTCCCTGTAAGGACATGTACCAGTCCAGCACAATCTGAAGTAGTTTTACATAGTCTTCAAGACTTCAAACATTTGGTAGCATTTTTTTTTTCCATTTCCATTTTGACTTCACATGAACGTTGTTTCTTTTTGAGGGAAAAGCAACTACATGAAAGTCAGGCTGAACTGAAACTGTTTTGCGTTATATTAGCAGAAAGTGGAATAAAAACTATTTTATTGATGTAAAACCCGATGTATACATTTCAGAAGAGTAGTACCTTAAAAGCATAGGGCCAACTGTGATCTGCTGTAGTTTTTGAACACTGTTTAAAGTTATAACCATTCAGTCAGAAAGTAGAAGAGCTAACAATTAGAAAGTTTCAGTCTGTCTGAATACTTTGCTTCTAATAGCTGTAATATCTCTCTGCTTGTCTTCCACAGTGGGATGATGGGAAGGGAGTACCTGCTGGTGGTGCCATTCCCTCTCATCCTTTGTCAGGGAGGAAACACAGGCAGCAAATTCAGAGCAAATGTCGAATTCTAGATAGTTATATTTCAACATGGTGAATCTTGCTATGTTTTCTGTGTAGCTGCAATTTTACTCTCAAAACATCCCTTTCAGCAATGTATAATTAAACATCAGTACCAGCTTGTGAACCTGTTGGTACTCAGGCTGGCTGTAGACATCTGACCAGAGTAAAAAGAAGCATTTTCCTTTGTGCATCAATATCAATGTGTCTGTATCAACTAAACTCTCATGGCTGCCTGCTTTGCTGGTAGCTAATCTTAGAAAACTCACTAACTAATGGCAATAGTGACTATTGGTGTTCAAAGGGTCTTTTCTCACCATTAATAATGAAGTTTAATGAAGCACAAAGGAAAGAAAAACGTGAATTAAATTCTTGAAGCTTACATATGCCACTGATAGGCAAGATCTGTGGCAAGCTGCTTCACGTCTGATGTGCTTAAAAAAGGAAGAACTGGAAATGTTTCCACAGAAGTTGCTTATGTGAAGAAAAATGAACATTTCAGCTGGTTATTACTCCTTATTCTTTTTACTGGGAATAAAGACATTTGTAGAGTTGCTGAGACAGTTTGTGAACTGGTCTAAGCTGGTAAACTCCCTTTCCTTCAGGGAAGCCAAGACTGTTGTGATTAGCTGAGGATTTCTGGTGCTTAAGAAATTACCCTTTTATACTTGCAGGCAGAGTGTCCGTGGCAGTAAACTTGTGCAATGTGCAGTTTGTCCTCCATGATGTCTGGCAGCTGCTGCCCTGCCCAGCCCTCTGCAAGTTTTAATATTTTGATCTATTTTAACTAATTTTGATGGAGGCATAAAAATATTTAGAATAAGAAGTTCCAATCTATTTTTCAAATGGGTGACTGGAGAGAGATGGGCAAGTGCATTTATGTCCCACCTAGAAGAGGAAAGAAGAAGGCACTTTTCTTTTCTTAAAGATGGCAACACCTGGTTACCACAACACTTGTAGCTTTGTGGTAATCACCGTTCTCTTTCCTTTTAATCTGTCTGCAAACTCTGTGTGATAGATTGCAAATATCTCCATAGTAGTATTGAGAGGGTTATTTGGGGTAATTAAGAGATGATGGGAAGACACTGGAGGTGTTTTAGAGAGGAAAGGCTAACAGGTTCCCATCTTCAAGCTGAGGGAATCCATGGGGTATTACATGAGCTGTAATCTGTTGTGATGAGGGCCTTTGGAAGCTGTAGGAGAGACAGCACTCAAGCAAATGGTGGTTTTCTATTTTACAGAACAAGAGCTGTGTTGCTAATTACAGCCTAGAAATCTCAAACCCAACTTGTTTTCAGGTTGCATTTGTAATTCTAGAATTTTGTTAGTTTGTTAGTTTATGGGCAAAAAAGAGCATCTCTGGAGCTGGCCAATGTCATTTGCATCAGCATTTTCATGTTGGTCTGGTTAGTGCTCTGGTGTCATTTGAAACACAACTTCTCATGCCCCTCTCTCACACAAGCTTTACAAAAGAAGCTGCTTTTCCAGGTGAGATGAATGACTAGCTAAGCAGCTACACATAGAACATCACTGTAAAATCCCACAAAATTTATTTTACTGCCATATTCTGTCTTTGGTTGGACACTTTGCAGGACTTGATCCTGCTTTGAATGTTGGTTGTCAGTTTCTGTGAAGCAGATATTTCTGCTCCTTTCCCAGCATTTCAAGCCTGCAGCTCTTCTTGCTCGGGAGTCATCCTTGTGTACAGGATATTTGAGTAAGAAGCAGCTAGTATGTACCCAGTGGTTTCAAAGCTTTAGTCAGTGCTGCCTCTTTGCTCTTAATCCAGCTGTGTTCCCACATTGCTTGGCTGAGGGGCATTTCCCAGCTGAGGCCATTCATCCCTAAAAGGGAGCTTGAAGGGACTGAATAATGACAATAATAGAGAAAGGTCTTTAGAAAGTGGTTGTATGGCCATGTCAGGTTTCCAAACATAGTATTTTAAGTCTCCTAACGGAGGTAGAGAGCCTACTGGAGTTAGAAATCCAGTTGATTTTGGTAGATGAATTTCAGTGCTTTCTTCTAAAAAACTTCAGAAATTATAACTGCTACGTCTCTTTTTAATTAAACATCTGGACTTAATTGTTTTCCTGTTGAGAATAGAAACTGATGGAGTATGTTATTTGACACTCCAGTCTACTTTATTTTCGGAGTCCCATCTCTGCTAGCACAGGAGGAATCGAACAGTCAACAAGCTCTTTGTTCACATCCCAGATTCTTTTCAGCAACATTTACCCACAAACTCTCTTTCCTTGTTCAAGAAATGTGTTTTCTACCTTTTCCTGGTTGTGTTTGGGTCTCTCTTGCTTTACTGCTAGCCAGTTCTTGGTGCCCTGCCAAGCCCAGAGGTCCATACCTACCCACAAGCTACTGCTCAATCTGGGGACATCTTCAGAACTCAATGGCTGAGCTGTGAATTTTTCAAATTACAAACTTTTCCTCTTTCTCTTCAATTGCTTGAACTGCAGCCAGTGTAAGGTGTTGCCAGTGAATGCTATCTGAACCCCTGCTTCTCCTGAAGTAGCTGGTGCAGACTCCAGGGAAGGCTACACTCCAAAGACCCCTGTAGTGGTGGGTTGTGATACAGAGTGAACTTGTGCTGTTATGTTGTGCACTGAGCCCATGCTCAGTCATGTCTGCATGCTGCCTTAGACCAGGAAGTCTCCTGCTTGGACTGAGCCTCAAAGTGCTTCTGGGAGTCCTATTCTTCCATGTAGGAAAACACTTGCTATGGGGAGCTGCCAGAGCCAGTGAATATCAGCAGTCAAGTAGATGAACAGGGAGCATTTTCCTCTTTCACACCCAGGGTAGGATGGTGATGCCATTGCTGCTAGAGCTTGATGAAGGAAGAATGATTGCTGACAAAATCTAATCCCAGTCATCACACCTTTTACACAGCTTTCCTGCATTCCTAGACGATGATGAAACATGAAAAAGGGAGAAATGTATGGTGATAGATGATATGTCCTCTTTCCCCTCTTTGCCTATTTGCCAGCATTAAGCTGAACTGAGGTTTCATAAATCAGCTTTCCTATAGATGTAGACACGGATCTGGCACAACTAAATTACCATTTAATAGGAAAAAGAGACAGAAAACTACAGAAATGTTTTTAAAACAATGCATGTAAGAATTTTAAGGTACTAACTGAATTATTATTACTCATAAGGAGTTCATTAGACAGTTTTTCCCCCCTTGAAACTTATTTAAAATTGAATTTGTAACTCTCATCTGAATTATACCCATGACTAATGCAACTGGAAAACCATTAGACAGATTTTTATACAGTTCACTGTAGTCCTTGTATGAAGTTACATTTCCCCAGTCCAAATTCACTGGCTAATATATGAGGACTAAAGATATGTTTTATTAAAAATATGATCACCACAGCAATTCCTTTTCTGCTAGCTTAATTGAATTCATATAAATGCAATTTTAACATGCTTGCAAATATTTTGTTGAACGTTTTTCTGAATTTCTTGTGGTAGTGTAGTTGTTTGCTGTCTAGGAGATATGTTATGAAATGTAATTAAATGACTACTTTTGCAGTTTCTGGGGCTTTTTTTAAATCAAATATGCCTGATATTAACTTCTTGTTCTTACATTCCCTTCACTTTCCCAAAGCTGAGTATTTTATTTTGACCTTCACATTTTCAATTCTATTAGTTCTACTTGGTATAAAATACCTGCATATGCTGTTACACTACAAATGCTTTTATTCCTTCATTTTAACATTTGGTTGAATGCATATTTAGCAAGTACTTAAATCTTCAATTTTTATACCGTGTTGACATAACAGGAGGGTGACTGCAAATATAAAAGGTTGCTAATCTGGTGGTAAATTTAGATATACAGCCCTCCATAGCAATTTTGCCCTCTGTCTTGTGGACTGCTACTTTTCTGCAAGCTTTAATTTACCCAGAAAATTCAAGAAAACATGTGAGCTTTGATTATCTATAAAAATCTTAAAAATCCGACAATGCTAGCCATTGTGTGTTATTGGGTTTTTTTCAAATCTTTAACATGGTTGACATGGTGAAGTGCTGAAATCCTTCCCAAATGAAGTAAGGGGTGTTTTGTCTTTACTGTCATTTTTTTTAATGTACAAATTTTCAATATGGAGACAGAAGTGTGCCTGCTTCATTTTCTGACTCATCAGCTCTCAGAATAGCCTAACAGATTTGTTTTCTAATCCAAAGAGTGGAGCAGCAGAGGCAGAATACAGACCCACCTCTCATTAAGATCAAACCATGTCTGATATTTGTAATCCCAGAGAGTGTGGGAGTGGGCCCTACATTCTCTTTTCTGCTCCACAGTTGATGAGATCACAAATACCCTTAAGGAAGATGTGTTCCTGAAGAGGAGTAAAGTGTGATTTAAAGGTGGACAGTGTCTTATTCCTTTTGTAGGACTCAGAGAACAAGTTGACAGGACCAGAGCAAGGCATGGGGTGGAGGAGTTCTCTGCTGACTCTTCTTTGCTTTTTTACACAGACAAGTTTGTGTTTCCTTTTCTTCTCCTGTCTTTTTTTTTTTTTCCATCTTTTTTTTGGGTACATATGGCTTGTTAAGGCTTCATGACATTACACGAACCAGTTCTTTGTTTAAAACCCCATGTGCAGACGAGCACATTTGGCAGTATTTCTCATCTGAAGTGCCCCTGAGCTGTGCCTCCAGGTGGCAGGAAGGTGTCCACACAGAAACCCTCCCTCTGGCACTGTTGCTGCCTGACTTGCAGCCCATAAGCACCAGGCTCTGGTCTTGGCTTCTCTCTTCTCTCCCTCACCTTCCCAGTCAAAAGGCTTAATCCATGTTATTTTTAGTTACTAGACTTGCAAATCATTCACAGATTTCCCCTCCAGTCTTGTATACTCAGCTCCTTCCTTGAAATTTCCTTTCGGATATTGCATTGCTTTTAAAAAATAAAACTATTTAAAGCCTCTCACATTTCCCTTCTCCCCTGTTCTGTAAACCTGCCCTTCTGTCATAAGACCATCAGCCTCCCTAAAAGCAGGAAAAGAAAACTGCTCATGTAATCCCAGTGTCTTGCTGCACTGCTGTCAAGGCTGCTGGTGCTCTGCAGATCCAGTCCCTCTCTAGACTGGGTCACCTTGGGCACTGCTGTGCCCCTGTGCCCTGTGTGAAGGGCCTGTCCAAACAGCTGCTCACACTCTGTGCCAGTGGCAGAGTCGTGTCCTCTCAACCCCCAAAACACATTGCTGAGCAAGCGGGCAGCCCCAGGCGAGACTGAGCTGCAGTATCCTGCTTGGCTCATCACTCCACTTGGATTTTCCTGCCCCCAGCCCCAGACCTGACCATTTTCTGTCTTCTTCCTGCAATGCTTCATCTCTTCTGCTCCACACCTCATCTCTCTTTACTCCAGAATTTCGACACTCACAGGTTTGCTTGCTTCCCCAGTGCTGTTTTTTTGCAGTGCTTTGGCCTCAGTGCCACAAAAAGAAGCTATCAACAGACAAAAATCAGAGATTGCACTGCATTAAACTGATTTAAGAAGAAAAGACAGTTTCTGAAGCCAAAAGCTATTTCCCATGTCTTGTTTGAGCTTCACTAGAGAATTAGAAATATGTTATAATCAAGCTTTAAGTAGTACTAAAAAGGCTTTTTTCTGCTGTTCTTTGCCTTGTTTTTGGAAGCTTTTAACTTGGAAGCTCTGCAAAGGATGACATGAGGGTACTGATTGGTGAGAGGGTGGATATGACCCTGCAATGTGCACTTGTAGCCCAGAAAGCCAAATATGTCCTGGGCTGCATCCAAAAATGTGGCCCAGCAGGGTGAGAGAGGGGATTCTGCCTCTCTGGTCTCCCCTTGTGAGATTCCACCTGTGCTGCATCCAGCTCTGAGGACCCCAGCATAAGAAGGATGTGGACCTGCTGGGGTGAGTGCAGAGGAGGGCCATGAAGATGATTACAAGGACAAATCACCTCTCCTATGAGGAAAGGCTGAGGGAATTGCAATTGTTCAGCCTGGAGAAGTGAAGGCTTAGGGATGACCTGAGTGTAGCCTTTCAGTACCTCAAGGGAACCTACAAGAAAGATGAGGAGAGTCTATTTAGAAGAGCATGTAGTGAAAGGGCAAGGGGCAATAGCTTCAAACTTAGAGAGAGTATGTTTGCATTAGATATTTGTAAGGAAGCTGAATTCCTTGGATGAGGTGGTGAGGGTGGTGAGGCACTGGCACAGGTTGCACAGAGAAGTTGCAGATGCCCCATCTCTGCAAGTGTTTAAGGCCAGGCTGGATGGAGCTCTGAACAACCTGACCTAGTGAAATATCCCTGTCCATGGCATTGGAACTAGATGATTTCTAAGGTCCCTTCCAATCAAAACCATTCTGTGATTTTCTCTGTGAAATCATTATTTGTCACTCAATTAAAAAAAAAAAATCTTCTTAAATAGATGAGTACACAGGCACTTTACTGCACAAGTAGTGAGATCAATTGTCTAAACATTAGAGGACAGTGTTTCTAACAAGAGTAAAAGCCAAAGTCCTTCTGGTTTAGAATGGTGATTTCTTCTAGATCTTCAGAGGAAAACTCTGGACATCTTCAATTAACTGCGTTATTACTATCATCCTATTGATTACAGTTTATTTCCATATGTATATTCTTTGAAATCTGGCAGGCAAACAGGTTGCTAGCAGCAGGAGCTTTTTCTCTTCCTTGCCCATACGTCAGGATACATAAGTCAGGTATTAGCAGAATGTACCACTGTTAGTGATGATGAGTTCTTACCTTCTTTAGCAAAATGTGGAGTACTGGTTTTATTTTTATTTTATGGTGCGGCAGAAATTTTGGAAATTCCAGGTATTTTATGAGAAGTGCATGCATGATAGAAATATCCCAACTAATGAGACCCAGTAAGTCCCCTATGTCTAATGAGCTCCAAACTTGAAAAAGGTCGGGAGTGTAATAAGAATTTAAAGAATGTCAGCAGCATCATTATGTATCTTGATACTTTTTATATAAATACTTATAAATATTTTTGTATACATACCTTTTAAAGAAATTCCAAGCCACAGGGTAACAATGCAGAAAAGGCCATAGCTTATGTATGTTCAGTGCAGCAGAGGATGATACTTGAGGATGATATATCTGTCTATACCTCTCCCTAGTAGCTCCTAAAGTAAATACATTAGTGACTTAGGAACTATTAGAAGTAAGAGAACATAGAGAATAGTTTGGATTGAAAAGCATCATTAAAGGTCCAACCGCCCTGTAATGAGCAGGAACTGCTTTAACTTGATCAGGTTGCTCAGAGCCCAGTGACATCTGACCTTGAATTTCTCCAGGGATGGGGCATCCACAATCTCTCTGGGCAACGTGTGACAGTGTTTCACTGCCCTCCCTGTAAAACGCATCTTCCTTAGATCTAATCTGATTTAATTTAAAACCATTGCTCTTTGTCCTTATTGCCACAGGCCTGCTGAAAAATCTGTCCCCATTTCTTGTTGAAATGGCTTCTCTGAGCTCTTCCTGGAGCCTTCTCTTGTCTCAGCTTTTCCTCATAGGAGAGAAGTTCCATCCATCTGATCATCTTTGTGATCCTCCCCTGGACCCACTTAAATATGTCCATCTCTTCCCTGTGCTGAGGACTTCAGAGCTGGATGCAGTACTCCAAGTGTGGTCTGACCAGGGGAAGTAGAGGGGCAGAATCACCTCCCTGAATTGGCAGTGCAATTTATTCTACTTTATGCTCAGATCAAGGCTTTTCTAGGCCTTTTATGCAGGGTCTTAAGAAAGCATTACTTCCTTATTTTGCTTTGCTTGTGTGTACAGCTTTTGCTTTCCCTATTAAATTGTCTTTATCTCAACACACGAGTTTTTTAGCTTTTATCCTCCTGATTTTCTCCATTGTCCCATTGGTTGGGAAGTGAGCAAGTGTTTGTGAGGGGCTTGGCTTCCAGCTGAAGTTGAACCTTGACATGTGTAAATCTACTCACAACCATTTGCAGTTTGCTTGTATGCCTCATGTAAGCTGAACAGCTATTTAATTTGCTTGTGTGTGATCCCAGTGCCTTGGCTTGCAGGGAAAATATCTGTTTTTACAAAGGTGGAATGCTTTTATGTTTTTGTAAGGTGGTCAGCCTTAAAATGACATTGAAGAAGCCTGTTAGCCATCTACAACTGTCTTCTTAGAAAACACTTTATCTTTGTGATCCTCTCCATCAGTAAGGATTTATGTTAATAAGGTGGGAAAATAGTTACTGAAGCAAATTTTGTGTTTACAGTACTGATCTCTATTTTGATTTAAAAAAGGTGATTCAAGTTCTCCTTCCTGACTTGTAAGCTATATTGAGAGAGAAGTGGGTTTATTTTTTTACTTTATGTGACAGGCCATTATGATTTGTCTCTACACGTACCAAGCAATACATTTCAGTTTTGCTGCATGGGAATGTCTCAGTTCTGTCAAGCATGAGCAAGACAGTCAGGTCTTGCTGCTGTTATCTATGAATGTGAGCAATCTATGATGATTGAAAAGAAACAAAAAATAGTCAATAAGACCTGTACATTGGTATGACTGAAGTGTTTGTGGTACCCAAAGAGAAGGAAATGATAGCAGCCACTCCAGCACAGAGGGAGTGTAATAGAGCAGGTGTCCTGCTGTGCTTGCTACAGTTGTATCCTTAGTCATAGATTGACCATATCGATGTTTTTATTTCATTCTTTAACTTGTGAGTCCACATGCCCCATAGTATGTTTTATGCTTGAGATAAACTATAAGAATACAGAAGTTGATCACAAAAATGCACCTTTGTGGTAAACTATGATTTTATTTCAATTAAGGGCAAGGTAGAAGGGAGAAGAAAAAGATAATACATTTTTCTAAAATACTGGAAATTTGGAAAATCATCTGTAGGTTTTTTTCTTCTGATAGCTTCTTTATTTTTAATACTATGTAATAAGTAATTTATTCAGATAACAAGGAAAGAGGCACAATTTTATTTCTGTAACAGTTTTCCTTCATTTTAAAATTGCCTACCCATCCCTCTATACGTTGCACCCATCATAAAACTTAGTTTTCTAGCCCAATTGCTATTTTATCTTGTCTTTTCAATACATATTTGGGCTGCGATCTGAAAGACTTCTGACATTGCAAAGATGATACCTTGCTTAGCAACCAGTAGTTTTTAAGAAGCAAACCAAAGGAGTTAAACTTAACTTTAAAAAAACTTTTGTTTTGTAACTTGAATACAGTACTTCATTTTTTTTCTAATAAAAACATGCATTGAGAATATTCTTAGCAATTTTACTTTTGAATGCTGGATTTGTTTGCTGTTCTTTTGTCAGATTAGCTCTGTTTTTAATAAAAGGTAGATAAATGCTTACCACTTTCAGATTAAGATAATGAGGAAATTAAATTTTCCTTTGTAGACTCTGTTTGTATTTAAAATAACTGCCTCCATAGCTTTTTTTTTTTTTTTTTTTAAAGTTGCGCTTTTAATTTCAGTAGAACACACAACTGAATTTGCTGACAGGAATCCATGAGATGGGAAGAGCTGATACACCAGGTCCTGGACTGGAAAGACCAAAGCTCAGCAGGGCTTTATTTCCCCAGCTTCAATGGACAGTTGCAATGATGGGCAGGGAGGGGGCCATCAGAACCTCAAATGTCTTTTGCACACGTGAGCTGAGATCCTCTCAAGCTCCTGGAGAGCAGGAGCTGAGGTTACAGCCCATCTGAGCCAGTCTGAGGACCCCCTGATCACTGGCCCAAGTGCCCCTTAGGGTAAAGCAGCTTGATGGGTTTTGCCTGGGAGGAGCCAGAAGATGCTGCTTCCCTGTCTTAAACATTTCCTACCAAAGCTACTCTCACAGGCTTGGTATAGCGAGCTGGAGATTGGACTTCACTTTGCACTTTGTGATATGACAAATAAACCTCCTTTTTCCACTTAAACTGCAGTGCTGCTGGAACCATACTGCAGCACTGGCCTCTATGTTTTATACCAGCCCTTTTCCTTTTTTACAGCCACCTCTTCTAACCAAGCTGCTGACACATTTGGGGTTATTTTGGGTTTAAATCTTTCTGACTTCAAACCAATAGATATTTTATTATCTCAGTTTTACCTCATATGACATCTGACTAATTTGAAAAGCAAAAGAGAGTAATCCTTTACTGTTGTAATTTAGGAGAGCAGAGAATCCACTGGGAGGTGTGCAGAAGGTTGTCTTTAAAGTAATGAAGTCTGGCAACCTTTTTGTTTACAGTCAACAGATCAACATTCAGAAAAATACACCTTTAAATTTGTTTGCACTTCTTTATGAAATACTGGAAAATCCAGGGTCTTTTATTCAGATGTGGGGTATTCCTTTTCTATTCTACCTTCAGTTCTGCAGATTGCTAGCATGTAGTTTTGAGAAAAATCTTCAGATCATATTCATTGTGTCAAAAGAAAAAAAATTAATGAAGGTCAAGTCTATTGGCAGTCTTCATCCATTTCAGTTAGGAAATGAAATAAGTTTTGACAGTGATACTGATATTATTTCTCCTCAGCACAAAAGTGTGTGTGGTACTTTATGCTTTATCACTTGTGATAATCTCCTCATGTTTTTTCTTTATTTTTTCTCTAACATAATTAGCATTCTACTGCACAGAGAACAGTTTCTTCTTTATCTGTTTGCTCTTCCATGCTCTCAAGTTTCTCTCAATGTATTAATTTATGAATAGAAACAACCAAATAAATAGAGGGAAGCAACTTTGATCTCATCAGTTTTGCCATGGCAAAAATGGTTTCAAAATTTATCTGAGAGCTTATCTTTATGATTGAGCTACCATAGCAAAATAGAAAATGGCTTTGTGTTCCCCTTGTTTCACAAAGTCGTGCATACATTTAGCAGCTGACTCTTTCAGATTCCAAAGTTCAGATTGCTGCTTTTCATTTCTCTGATAATATCACGTAGCTTCTCAGTTCATGAAATGGATAAATATTTCTCATAAAAATCTGGCAGCTCATTTTCAATTAATTGTAATAAATTAACCATGACAAAGCAATGGTAGCTTTCATGAAAGTTTGATTTGGATCTGCTGCTAGTGGATGTGTATTACTTATGACAGATCACCACAATGACAGAAGCACATGTTTTAGGAATCTATCAAGGTAGTTGCTTTCTGATGTGGTTTTCAGACACTGTGAGTATGTCCCTGAAATGTGTTTCTTTTGTGCTACTGCAACTGGTAGCAGCACCTCAATTGCCCAGTTTTTCCTCATGTGGGCTCTCTCCCCACACCCCAGTCTTTCTCTCTAAAAAAGAAAAAAGTAGTCTAGACAGAAAAACCTACACTTGATATAATTTGTGTTTGGTTTGTGGAAATAGAGGAATTTCATCCATTGGAGGCTGGAGACCAATTAAAAAAATGCTCAAAATATATTAGTATTTAATATTAAAAACAGTATTAAAAACTGTGTTTTAGGACTTCGTCCAAAAAGGACACTACGCTTGGTGCTATGGACAGGAGAAGAGCAGGGAGGAGTGGGTGCTGAGCAGTACTATCAGCTGCACAAGGTAAATATGTCTTTTCACCATTTTCTTGAAAGCACCTTTCTCCCCAGTTTTATGACTTGAATATTATTTTTGTCAAGATGTTCACCTTAATATCTAACCGAAGCCACGATTCCAGTTCTGCCTGAAAGTATATTTTCTGCGTTTAATCATAAATGTAAACCTAATTTTACATTTAACAGTAAGCGATGCAAGCACACGTGTGCATGTTCCGCTTGACCTAAGATACTCTGTCTCAAAAGTGTTCTGAAATAGATATTTCAAGATATCTGCCATAGCTTTCAAACATAGCTAACCTTCTGAGAATGAATAATGAATGGTCCACATATGTTTGCAATATAAATAAATTTTGTTTGCCTTATATATTTCTGCTTCATTGCATTTTCCCATAATATTTTACAATGTAAAACATAAAATAATACAAAGAAAAATATTTGCTATCTGATCTTGATAGTGTGTAGTGTATCATTTACCTTGCCAATTATTAGTTTTGTGGGATCTGGAACATCCTAAAAGGTTGATGTCTAGTGATGGAAAGAACACACAAACTCTATGACTTATGACTATGAAGATATAAAAATATAACATCTATCTCTCCTGTTAACAACTGCCATTTCAAAATACATCTTGAGATAAAGGGCAGTTGCCAAAACTATTTTGGAGGTAAGTCTTTGGAATATGTGTCTGATTGGGGCATTTTTCCCCAGAAAACATATACCTGTATAACCTGTATAACTATTCTAAAGTAATGTTTTTTACTTTTCCCTAATTAAGTAATATAACTCTCAACAATAGTTAATACATCCAAGGCAGAGACAAGGTGAATGCAAATGTGCCTACGAAGTTACCTGCTCTACAACAGCATGGAAGCAGATTTACAAGCAATTCCTAAGAGCATTTTTTAATGTTAAGCAATCTATCAGAACAAATAAATGGAAACCTCACTTTGAATTAAATTCATTGTGATGAACCAAATTAGATTAACTTGCATCTGAAATGGAGTTGTCAGAGATAGGTTTTGAGCACTTCAAGTTTTCTGACTCATTGATGAACAATCAAATATTTCCCACTTACTAGTTTCATGTTGCTAAGAAGCATATTTAACTACTCACATATAATGTTTTACCTCCTTGTATCTCCAAATGATAGGGATAACTCAGCTATGTCATTTGTTTGGTACCAAAAAGGTACCCAAGAGCTTGTTGTCTCAGCTTCAGGGAGGTGACAAGTTGCAGTTTAGTATATGTTAAGGACTCTGGATTTACCACTGGCACTCTGATACTCACCAGGATTAAACTGGAATAAAATATTCTGGAATAAGTAGCACATGAAAGAGTTGCTTCTTATGTACAGAACTGCATTTTGGGGGAGCTGGAAGGATGCCCTGTGTCTAATGCACACCACTCATCAGAAATGTATCTGAAGACACATGTACATGTCCATTTTGGACAGTAAGATCCATCCTATGGTGGTGATGTCAGCAACACATGAAATTGTCTCATGCATGTTTCATCTTTATCCAAAATGGCTTTGTTTGTTGTCTCAAAGATTTCTATTCAGAAATAATGCCAAAAAGCAGACCTAAGGATCAAATAGGGAAATACAAAGAAGACTGGGTGTTGTTTGCAAGATATTTGGTTACTTTGCTTTTTTAAAAAGTTGAGACAAAGATGTGTCTCAGTTCTTGCTCTGCTGGTGAGATTCCATCTGGATGTTGTGCTCTGCAAAGAAAGCCCTGTCTGACTTAACAGTTTGTAATTTACATGGAGAATTTAAGCAGAAATGACATCCGTCTGTTGTTTGTTGTTCTTGTTTCCCCCCTGCCATATGATCTGGCATAATTATAAATCGATTTGACTATAGGATGTTGCATTACTCATAATAATGAAATAAAGTTGATTAATACTGTACATTAAATTTAGCATGAAAAATAACTTAACCTTTTAATGATTTACTTGCTCAAATTTCTGGCAATTAGGATAGTGTGGCACACACATTGCTTGCTGATGGTAATGAGTACAAGTTAAATAAGAGTGGTATTTAAAGATGCCTTGTAAAATGAAAGACAGCCTGTATGACTCATCTACATAGCTGGACTTATGAGTTCAGTTCGCTACAAACAAGTAGAAATATGAATGCAGTAATTCAGCACAGGCAGACATGGATTTCCTTGACATTGTAAATTACCTCCTCATGTCAGTGGAAATGTGGCAAGGGAGAAGAAATGAAGACAATATAGTACTGGACAAGTACAGATGCTCTTATTTTTGTCACTTATTTATTATTTCTTTCAATTTAAGTTCAGGTCCTTCTTCCTCATCTATCATTGTAGGCTGTCACTGCTAGAAAGTGGATAAGTTACTGCAGAAATAACTGAGATAGCAGCGTAGTGGTTTTACTATGATGCCAATAATTAACACATATCCCTGTGTAATAGCATTATTTATAACACTCAAGTTTTTCTCTAGATCCCAGTATTATCATTTCTGATTATTAAAGCTAGTGATAGGGCATATTAGCTGTTCAGAGCTTTATGAGAATCTAAGAGCTGCCATATTTGTTGATCAAAAGCTCTAGTGCTCTAGACATTCTAGTGCTGTCTCCTGTTTCTGATAGCATCCAGTAAATACATGCTTAGGAAAAGCATATTTGTCCAACTGCAGTCAGGTGAAGCTCAAACACATACATTACACAACCACGATTTCAGTTTATCAGATATTTTTCTGGAGAGCATCACATGGTCCTTGTCCTTTGTCTTCTTTGCATGATTTTTCTGAGCCATTTCCAGGAGCTGAAAGCCTTGTATATTCCAGCAGTTTCAGTACCTCCATTTGTGCAAGGGTACCTGCCACCCACCAGGACATTGCAGAGCACCTACTCAGTTTTGACCATGGGATAGAAGCCTCTCAGGAGAATTACCAGCACCTTTGCTTCCAAAGGAGATACCTGTTGAAGTGCTCACTGCCTTTAGCTGTCAGCCAATAATTAGATTTAATCCCGAACTAGAAAAGGAGTTGATTTGCCTTACCATTAAAGATCCTTATCTTGATAAAGAGCAGTGAAATTAAAGGATTTAAGTGCAAATCAGACTGCAGAGCTTGGAGTTTGACACTACATCTGAAGTCTTCTTCCAGTGCTTAGTGTTGTGCAACCCAATTACTGAGTAGGGCTCTTATGTACAGACAATGCAGTAAATAACTTCAGAATCGTGAAACATTGCAACACTACTTTCTTATACAAGTCAAGGTGAAGAACTAGAGGAACATAATTCTAGAAGGCCTCATGATGCAACTCTTCAGTACAGATTCTGCTACAACTTTATCAATAATACCCGAGTGCCCTCAGCCAAGATTAAGTTTTTTGTATGTTTACTCTTATGATGTCTTCATGAAGGGAGAAAGAAATAAATGTAATGAAGTATCTGTCCTCCTTTTCATTGCTTTGGACTAGATTCTGTGAAAGGTCTGTGTACCATGAAACAAGGTTACAGTTATTTACCCAGCTGAATTAAGGGACTATGAATGACTGATAATATTTATTTTGGAATAGAAGCATTGCATACAATCTCTTGGGAAGGCAAATACATTTTACAATGAGAAGACTACGAGATCCTAGGCCACATTCAAATTTACTTTAGTAACTTGGTTGTGATCACTGGAGACATTAATATGTTATGAATTCAGTTCAAAATCCATTACAGAAGGCATTCTCAATATTTCTTCATGTTGGTATTCTTATCTTAATGATATTTACAGTACTTACCTCAATTTCTGGTGCAAATACCATACAGTATTTTAACTTTTTAGTAAAGGTTTAACTACATAAAAAAATATCAATCAACAGTGCTTACTATGGTTTCTTTCTTGTATTTATTACCAAGATCTGATATTTTGCTCAAACTGTGTCTGCATGGAAACAGGACTTTCTGAAATGCTGGCATTTCTTTCATGCTAGTTTAAGTACTCCTTGTTGATGCTCACATAAGATTTCTACTGTGATTTGCTAATGAGTTGCTTACTCTAAGAAGCAAATACCAAAAAAGATCTTGTCACTCTCAGGTGAAATGATTCTTCTCCAGAAAATATTGTCTCCTCAAAACCATAATTTTCAGAAGACATTATATCCTGAGGCATCAAGTGCTCTGGTGAAATGTAAGACATGAATTTGTGTCTGATTTGAACCAAACATATAAAGGACTTTAATGAAGATCCTTTTATCCCAGCAAAATGTGTTGACCATTAGCCTTTTGACTTTCCTCAGGCAATACTCTCTGTAATCAAAAATTACGTAAAATTACTGCTGCCTTTTTAGATCACTGATGTCCTGTTGATTCCTTTCATTGCAAAGGGAAAAGAATGCAGAAAGAGTGAAATGTCCATTTGCAAAACTACAGAAAGAAAATAATCCCACTGTGTTCTTCAGTATCACAACAGGCAGTAGCACCACTGATTGTATTAAGCATAGTGAAGATAGCATAGTTACAGAATTATCTTTTACACCAGTTCTAGGTCTGTAGGAATGCCTAATTCTTAGTATTTAGGAATAAGCTTCCTTGTGAAAGCTGCAGAGAAATACAGATGTTGCTAAAACACAAACCCAAGTTTATTCCTTACACTGCCTGAAGGATGGAAGACTCCAATCAGTCCTGACAGCATGTCTCCTGGGTATCTAATCTTCATTCCATGTAGATAAAATTCATACATGTCTATTGTTAGAAAAGCTTTTCTCTGTGCATCTTTCTTCTCTTTCTCTCAAGCAAATAGCAGAGCTGCCAGTTGAATGTGGTAGAGACATCTTCTGAAGATCACTGCTTCCAGTGCATGCTTCAGGCACATTGACCCATCCACAGGTCTTTGTACCATTGGGATGTTCAATTGTAAGAAAGTTGTCTTCCTTCTATTGAAACTCCCTGCAGCTATGAAAGACATAGAAAAATATGTATGTTTTGATGATTTCTAAGGTGTTGCAAATTTGTTTTCAACTTTATTGAAAGTTTCAGAAGTACTCATCAGCTTCCTGAAAGAGTAAACATCATCTTTGTTTGAAAGATGTAAACCACAGTTTTTAATTTTGGTATTGCTGCCTATTTTCTAGTGAAAACCTAAAGCCTGTCTAAAGAGGACAGTGGTGGGATGGTCATTCAGAGCCATAGACATTGTTTTGATACCTTTGTATTTGAGCAGTAAAAGGTCTTAAGTTATGGAACGTTTTCCAGAAAGAACACTTCTCTTTGGTAAGCCCCTTTGTCAAAGAAAAAACGTCCCAAGACAAGACTTCAGGCATACCTTACTTAGCCTGCTGCCATGTTCAGAGCTGTCTGCTTTTTCTTGTCTGTCATCCCAGGGAACTTACAATGCCGAGTGAGTGCTGGCAAATCATCATAGAGGAAACAGTCGTGGTATTGTATAAGGCAAGAAATGGCAGTATTATGTTTTTTGCTGAGTGAACTGCTAATAAGTACGTGACCAAATTGCTCCAGGGCTGTTGAAGTTACTGGGACTTTTTTCATTGGCTTCTCAGAGGTCAGAATTTGTAACTGTCCTACTCAACAAACCCTTAAACCTGTAGACTTTTTTACATACTGCTTTCCCATAAAATGTGGCAGAAGAATATTTTATCTTGTAATAAAAAGGATGAGCCTTTTTCATACTTTGTCATGTAGCAAAAATTGTGCTAATCTTCAGCTTTACATGAGCTTTCTCCCGTATAATGATGGGATAATTTACAAAATTGAATAACTCATAGTGTTCCTGATTTTCCCTGTCTTCATTCAAAAAGTGTGTAAATGGTATGATAACATTTGTGGCTGGTGGTTATTATGCCTTGATGCTGGCACATCTCTGCTTCCCAACAGCTGTTGTGGTATTTTTTCTCTAGTTTCAATTTATGCTGTTTTGCTTCATTAAATTATCTTCATACTAAAGAGCAACTCAAAATTACACTACATCATGTTTATATATTATTGAATATTTAGAGGATGTTATTTATTTTACTTTTTTTTCTTTTCTAGCTGTCACATGCACTTAGGTATTTCCAGTGTTTTTTCTTGTCATTCCTGTAGTCTTAGTTGCCAGCCTAACAAAGCTGGGTGCTGATTTAATGGTGTTTTAGTGCTACAAGTGGGATGACCATCACTTCCCTGTGAGTTTTACAACATTGTTGCCATGCTATGCTTGTTTCCCAACTGTTCTAGGACAAATACCGGAATACAAGTGTTGCTCTTTCTTAAAGTTAAGTGTAAATCAATAACAGAAAGCTGAAAACACAATGTCAGATTAACTGATGTCCTTTATCACTGGAATAAGTGAACCATTAGTCAAGGAAGTGCTTTGTCATTACAGACTTTAGTATTTTTCCTGTAAAGTGGTGATTCTTCTCAGTGGAACATAAAAGAGAACCAGTAAATGAGCTGCTGGACAAGTAATACTCTATTTTAAAATAAACAGCCCCAAAGTACTGGAGGCTTTTAGGATAGCTGTTGCCTGCATTAAACTTTCAGGTATGTCCCTGCCTGATGGTATTGCCATCAGTGACTCAGTGGGTTAATCATGAGATGTTGCAGTCTAGTTTAACATCTATTAAGAATTAACAATTGAGATTTTGACTGAATAAGTAGCTACTGTAAGGTACACCTGCTTGGGCTTGTCAGTGTCTATCCTAGAAGGAAGATGTTTCCTACCAACAGAAGTACCAGTCATACATATTACAAGGGTTTGTTTTCTCAGTGGTGTCAGGCAATAGGACAAGAGGCAATGGGCAGAAAATGATGCACAGGAAACTCTACCTGAACATGAGGAAGAACTTCTTTACTTGTGCAGGTGCATTTGAGCAGGCTGCCCAGAGAGGTTGTGGAGTCTCCCTCACAGGAGATATTCGAGAACCATCTGGACACAATCCTGTGCCATGTGCTCTGGGATGGCCCTGCTTGAGCAGGGAGGTTGGACCGGGTGACCCACTGAGCTCTTTTCCAACCTTGTCCATTCTGTGATTCTGTGATTTCATGTTACCAAGTTTTTACCTTAGAGAGGACAAGTACTTATATTTTTAGTTTTGCTTAGCAGAAACAAAAAGTAGATTGTTTATAGAGAAAACAAAATAAAAGGAATTAAAATTTAAAAATTAAAAATAGGAGAAGTATTGAATTGTGCCTAATTGTGTATTCAATGAAAATAGCAAGCTATAGAAAGCAAATTTTCCCATGCAGTATTTATTGTAATGTTTCATTTAAAAGTTCAATTGAAGAGCTAAAGATGACATAATAAAGAGAGGTGACCTCCTCTGTGACCAATTCATAAGAAGGCAAAGGATAAAAGTCTATTTTGGTGTTCAGAGAATTAGGCAGCAGGTTACACAAAGAAGTTTTAATTTTCTAGGACATACCAAGAGAAGTGGCACAATATCAAGATGCAGCAGATGAGATTACTTCCTGAAAAATAATTACATACCGAGTTTAAAATGCTCATTTAAATGGTACATTCACTAGGAGAATGACTGAAGGAAACAGCTGAGCCTGCAGTTATTTTTTAAAATCTTTCTGGTTTGTTTGTTCCTTTGAATTAGTCAAGGCAAATGTATGGTTTCACCTCACTTTGTTAGTGGCAGTTATTCCTGCATCATAGATTGTAAATGATGACAAAGCATCTTCACTATTTTAAAGCAGCATATTTTAAGCATGTTTTCCAGCATGTGTTTCTCTCTGTGTAAATAGAAATGCCAATGCAGAGGTACAAAAATGGGAACAGGGAAACCAATCTAACTTTTTTTAAGATTGCAACTTTCAAATTTGATTGTGAATAGTTTTATAAGTAATCCTATCTTCTAGTGGACCAAATAGGGAAAAAGCTTTCTCAAGGACACATGGTACTCCAAGTAGCTGTGACCTGTTTAATTTTTGTTCCCCAGTGAACTCAGTTTCTCTCCCTAGGGTGTCCTGTTTTCATGCTTCTCCAGCACGAAATAACTGAATAGCTTTCTTACAGAGCAACAATATGGTGTAATGTATTGTGGGTGGTTTGTTTACTCAGTTTCATATTAAAAACACATGCAAACATTTATGTGAGAAAACACAACTGAAGGGCATAGCGATTTTGCAATAGTAGCAGAATTCTTGACCTTAGGGATTCTGTTTTGAGTGATAAGTGAGATTTCTTTTAGGTGTCCATGTTGTTCCCATGCTCACACTTCTCACTCCACTGCCCTGAATGGTCCCTTCCCCTGGCCTTATTGCTTCTCCTCATTTCAGCTGCTCTAAAAATGGACAGAAGTCCTGCTTTGGAAACTCAACCAAAGAGGCTGAGCATCATGTATTTATGTAGTGCTCACTATACTTAGGTTAGCTTTCATTGGCAATTCAGCAGCACACTGAAATGTGTGTTGTCTTTACTAAGTCCTCCTCCTTGGGCATATGATAGAAAAGATTTACATTTTGAGACATTCTTTCTATTGTGTCTGTGACATTGGAGCATCACTGGTCCCTTTTAGCCTGCAATGTGCTTTCCTTGGCATGCTTCTCTCTCTCTGTATTTGGAGTCTGTGAATTCATGTTGAGGCTCATGACCTCAGGACAGCATTTGATGGTAGGCCTAGACACCATATGTAGCCTAATTACTTACATTTAATCTTTTGCAAACTGAAGATGCTTTTCACTGTCTAAAAATGGTGTTTGCCAATGAGGTGATAAGATTGGTTATTTGCACATTGATTTCCAGTAGTTAAATTGGTTATCTTAAGGTATTATAACATTTACAGTTTCTGTATCATGCAAAGATTTTTTGGTTTGTTTTTTTTTTTTTTTTTTAACTACTGGATGTCTTTCTAAGTGAAAAGTAAATAGCTCTGCTCTGTTAGAATTGTTTCACTCAAAAGAAAAATGGTTTGTGAAAGTGTTAAACCATTGTTGGCAAATTCTATAAAGGACATCTGAAAACTTATGTGAATTATTCACAGCCACCTGTAATAAATATTTGGGTTTATTTACAGAAAAATGTAAAAGAATTGTTTACTGAATTGTAGGCTTATATAGGCTGGTAATGAAATGAATCTGTTACTTGCTGCTATCACATGTCTCTTGCAATGATTTTCTTGTAATAAATAACCCATGGCAGCCATAAAATTCAGGCATGAGATCTGGGCATAGGAGTAAAACCTGCAGTAAGTTCTCTTAGTCACATTCAACATGGCCTGAAAGTATAACTTTTTTTTTGCCTGACATAACCATAAACTGTTTTTAAAAAGTTATGTGCCTCTCCAAAAAATTTGGCATCTTAATTCAAGTAAAATCTCTATGTGTTTCATTCCAATTAGACCTTTGAACCTGAGCAATCTAAGCAAATATGGTAAGTAAGTAAATTGCTAATTTTTGTTTTTTTAGCTTAAAAGATTCTTCTGAGTACACACTAAAAGCAAATGTTGCTACTTGTACACAAAATCTTACCTTTCATGTTTCTTGTGAGGATTAACTTGGAAACACAAAAACTTTCCTTAAAGTAGATGTTATTCCTTCAGGTCTGAGGGAGAACCTTTTCGTTTCACTCCTCCAGTAGGAATCAGAATTGACTATATGAATTGACTGGAAATAATGTGTTTCTGAACAGACAGCAGCTGGCTTTTAAATAGACTCACAGTCTATAAAGGCTTTAGATGCCTCTAATTTTAAAGCCACAGGACTGCATACCCTCTCACTGCAACAGAATTTCAGAGTCTCAGGTCTGAGAAGAAAGGGAGAGCTGCAAATGAAAACTGCAATATGGTGGTGATGGCTTACTTCTCTAGGTGGCACTTTAGAAGTCTGAAAGCAAGTATTTGGGGACAGAATACCAGTCATGTTGTGGGTACTACAGAATATTGGTGCCACAGAACATAACTTGAACTGTTTCAGCCATTTTCATACGGAAAGATAGGTCCCTTCATTTATGCTTATGTACACAAAAAGCATTTCTCTGCTTCTGAAAACAAATTTGTTGTATGCTCACAATAACACCTAGAATCCAATCTATGATGCCAGCTAAAATAACAACCACAGCACATTATCTTCTTTTCTTACATGTTTAGGAAAATATCTCCAACTTTGATATCGTTATGGAGTCTGATGAGGGCACCTTCAAGCCATCTGGACTGGGTTTTACTGGCAGTGCTGCAGCCCGGGACATCGTGAAAGAGATCATGACTCTGCTGCAGCCCATCAATGCTACGGATGTTTACGACACTGCAGATGGAACAGACATCTCCTACTGGATGAGAGACGGGGTGCCTGGTGAGTGTCCCTGCAGCCTGGCAGGGGACACTGCTCACACTGAGCTCTGCCACGTCACATGGGTGGTCTGATGTTTTCAAAGTGCTAAGAAATTATTTCTCGCAGGGAGTAAAATTTACTATAGGTAAAATGCATAAATGTTAAAAGGTGACCAACAGAAATAGGACATAAAGTGCATTTGAGCTGCAGTTTAATAATGGTATAGATTATACGTAAAATAAAATGCCTAAAATCTTCTTTTCGGCTTTAAGGATTTATAATAATTAATCCCAGACTGGTGGTTTATAAATAGTAAACCAAGGCAGAGGGGAATTCTCCAATACAGAAGAAATATTTTTTTAATTATAATTATTATTTTTACTTTGAAATTCAGGGGGTTTTCTTTCAGTTTTATATGCTGGAGAAACAATGTTTTTGAGATGTGACATTTAAAAAGCTATGAGTCATTAAGGTGTGATAAAAGGGCAAAATTCTGAAAAGTTTGAAGTAGTTTAGGGGTTTGTTTCGAGCCTTGTGTCCAGCTCCAAGTGAGGAGCAGCTTGTTGCCAAAGAAACTTGTAAGCTGTGAGAGAGATCCACCACTGGCATTGCCCCCATGCAGGAGACCTCCATACTAGCACAGAGGCTTTCAGAGCACAAGAATCCCAGCTGGGGGCCAGCCTGAGTGAAGCCTTAGTGTATTTCCATTTGAATAATAGTAGGAAGTAAAGTTTTATAACAGTGATATTTAAAAAGTTATGATCAGTTTTAAATTTTAAGGTTCTTTTTCTCCTATGTTTTATGGCTGAAGTAGGCTGGCACATTTATCATGCTAGTTTTACTACTTGCTACTATATGCTTAGAATCTTTTAATATTTTATTAACTGCTGTTTTTTACCTTGTGAAAGAGAGTGAACCATGGAATATATTATTCTTATTTATGGTCAGAACCTCTTGCTGCTCACTCAGTTAGGGTGTACAGAGATACCATAAAGTTGACTGCTTCAATAAATGTATGGATGTCTAATTTTGAAACCAAAATATCTATACTGGGCAAGAAGTATGGATGAATGGATATTATTAAACAGTTAGGGATTCATCTTCAGCTTCTGTCCTGCACTCTGGGTGAAGTGGAATTGCTTCAGTACAATGTCATGCAGCTGTGACAATGGTGTCCTGAGTTGATATGAGAGACTGTAAGCACTACTGAGAGCTTAGCCATGCATCATCCTCCACAGCCTGGAAGTGCCTGTGAAAAGATGTCTGGTCCAGAATTTCAGACCAACATATCTGTTTTGTAGGCAGAATGTAAGAACTCACCACTCAGCCTATGTTTAGAAAATGCAAGGGTGTCAGAATTATTTCCTAGGTAAGGTACTGGGAGCATTCCAGGGGGTCCTTGGGGACTTGCATTGTGCTTCCCATCTGAATGTGGCAGATTCTGGAAAAAGAGAGAAAAATGTAACATTCAAATGCCTTATTTTCAGTTGATAATGTGAGTGGTGCTTGTGGTGGCAGCGGGTATTGAGCTCTTAAACACCACTTCTCATCAGCTGTGGTGCACCTGGAGCATAAGCAGCTACAGCTTGCCATGGTCCTCTTGATTAGTCTTTGGGCTACTCAGCAGGAGCAATGCAGGAAAAAGCCCTTTCCCATGGACATCTCTACTCCTCAGAAAGCATAAACTAGGAAAAATATAAACCTTGGGAATATAAACTCGACCTTGGGAAAACATGAATACATCAGAACCAAGACCTCAGTTTTTAAATAAGTCTGATTTGTTTTCCAATTAAGAATTTGTCACATTAATTGATAGTGGATTTTTTTTTTCTGTCTGTAGCTTTGGTTCATTTAACTTCCTGTTAAGCAAATAACAAAGTGTTCTTGCAGCATAAAGGAACACTGATGCTTTTCTTCATCAAGCATCAGTGAAAAGAAATTAGCTCCACTAAAAAATTTTTGCTGCTTTAGATTGTATTTCATGCTGTTCCAGGGAGAAGTCTAAGACATCTTCTAATCTTCATGCAGTTTCTCCCTGCTTGAATGAGTCTTTATGGTATATAATAACATTGAAATAAATTGAACACTCTGTAACAGCTTTTATAATTTTGTTCAATTTAAACAAGTAGTCAAGTGTTGACACTCCATCAATTTTATTTAAATATTTTCTTGAAAATATACTTGGTGGCTTTGTTTCTGCAACAGTGAGGGAAATTATGGTATACTTCTTGAACAATGAGAATGGTTTCTGACATAATTTCTCTTGAATTTTCAGTCTGAAATAGATTCCAGGATTCACCTTATTAGATGCTGTTAATATTCTTCTCCTCTTACTTCTTTTGGTCTGAAAGATCCACAGAGGGCAACACTTCATGTATTTTTCAGAGCTGTTCATAGCTGAAATAGGCAAAGAGACTGTAGGTTCTTAATCTCTGCTATTTTGAGCATGGTTATTTTTAAGGGACATGCAATGAAATGCTACTAAACAGCAGTGATTATTCTGAGATTTTAGAATGAGAGAGGCCACGAGTTCAGAGTCCTTACCAAACCATAGACTGAAGCCTAAATAATACCTCTAAAGCACAAGCAAGGTGATCTGCACCAAACACAGCACTCTCATTCTTTGTGACTGCAGAATATTAGAAATATTTCTCAGTGGCCTTTACACTGGATTGTTTTGAGAACAGTTCAGCTTAGCAGTGAGGAATGTCTGTAGTTGTGGTTTTGTACTGATAGCTGGTTTTCAGCTACTGAAAATATTTGTATAACATTTGTTTTGCTTTTTTGTGAAGCATAAATGAGAGGAAGGGAGGGGTTTGTGGTGCTGTATTTTATGGTGTGGTTTTATGGTTTGAGGTGATTCTAAGACTGTTCATTTAATAATTATGCAATTATCTTCCTCATCTTTCTTTTAAAGTGTTCAATTCCGGTTTTTTTTCATTAGGGATGTATCCAGATAGTGGCACATAAAGCTGTTCCTTTGCAACACTAAATCCCAAATTAAGTTTGGCTAGAATTTGCAAATATAGGTGGGAAGGTAGGTTGACTGGCTTTATTTAGATTTGTTAACATACTTTTTCACAACATTTTTTCAGTGTCTGAAAGGGTTAAAAAACAAATAAGCAAGCCCTACTAAACCAGTACTAGGGTATGCTTGTTGAAAAAGTGAAGTATCTGATGATCACAGATACTTGATGATGACCAAAATGCTTCAAATGTGATTTAGAATGGTTCCTAAGGTAACAGCCCTGGGTCTGGATCAGCCTTCTCTGCAAGCCTTCAGAACCTGAGAAGAGGGGGATGAAGTGTTTGTATTTGTATTATGGAATCCAGTAAACATTAGTTTGGGGAGCTGAAAACAGGTGCTTTCATATTTTTGCAAAGGAATGGCTGTGGTGACATATTATTTCCAGGAAGACTGGTTCAAGGATGCTCATTTCGGCTTGTCAGGGTGGTTATCTGTTGCTGCAGTGTTTATGATGGGAACACTTGTCTGTTAGGAACTAAGCAGTATTTGAGATCAAGCTGACCCAGGACATCAAACAACTCCCCAAAGCCATGTTTCAACTCCTCTTTTAAAAATCAACCAGTGGCCTAAAGGTGGAAGTCCTGTTACAGTGTCACTTTGAACCTTGATGGTTGTTTGTGTTTCTCTTTCTCCACAGTGACTTGATTTTTTGTCACACTGCATAAAAGGCAGAATTGTTCTTCCAGAAATTAATAAACCAGTAGTTCTTCTAATTTTAATATTTCTTCAGAAATCAAAAATTCATTGCTAACCCAATCTATTAGTCATTCAGATGTGGCAAACAAATACTGTAATACATCATTTCTCTCATTTTCTCATTTTCATACTGTATTTTATTTCCTTCATCTAAAATACGCTGTATTTTGGCCTGAGACACCGGATTTTGACTCTGATTATTTCCTTTTGCATTATGTAAGAGGTTAAATCTCCCCCTTTTCTGGAGCATGCTGCCCTCTCTTGCCCCTGTCCCCATCATCCCTGTAGCACCAGACTCAAGTGCAAGCCTGCCAGCACACTGGTGCCAAGCCTACTCCTCTGCTTGGTATCGGCCAGGGACATGTCTGAGAAAGTAGTGTAACAGGAAAACTCCTTGACTTGAGGTTGCCAGCTGGACATGAAGAAGTGAGCAAACTCTATTTCCCAAATTATAAGTGAATAACCTCTGTTCATTCTTGGCTGTGTCCCTGTTTGGAAGTGATACTCCACTGTACGCTTGAAACGCTGCCCGTCACATTACCTGTTTTGTACTGCCCACACTCTTGGGCAGGCTCTTTGGGTCTAGTTTTAAGCTTCTTTTTATTTCCAAAAGAATAAAAACAGAAGAAATATCAGATGCACAGTCTAGGATTTCATAAGCCAATGCTGAAAAGCCTTGGACTTCATGCTGCAGGGGTAAGAGGTGTTGCATTTGATAAAATCCTTCCTACAAGATGAGAGAAGGGGAAAAAAAAATCTCTGAACAGTAAAATTAAACTTCTTCATTTTACTATGAAGTGTTTGTGTCACTTGTGATTTGAGATGTTTAGCACAGGGAATCACATGTAGGGCTCCAGGGATTTGACAAAGTGACAAACTCAATGCAAATGTCTCCTCATGAAGCAAAAAACTGGACAAAACTCCTGAACACTACTCACAGAACTAACCTTTACTGATAGTATTATAAGTACCTACATAATTTTAGGTACTCCATAGATCCCTCATTTTTATATTTGCTGAGTTCCCACTGCTCTGGACATCTGTTGAGCAGTGCCATCACCAGCTACTATTTTTATGTGGAAATGAGAGGTAAAGAGCTTATGGTGTACATGCATGTCTTGCCTCAGTCTTGATCTCAGTAAGTCTGAGATATACCAGAACTGTTGTCTGATAATCCACAATATGGTATTGCTTTTTCCAGGTCATTCCTTTCCTTTTAAATATCTTATTTTATCAGTCATAAAGGAAATAGGATGAATGAGTGTGTTCCACTGCAAAAGCCAAATCTTTTGCAACTTGGGTGGTATTAAATTAAACCAGTATGCTAAGAGAACAATTATAATTGCTTGGCACTTTAGGAACCTACTGTAAATGCTAAGGCTATTAGACCCATTTAAAATCTTGATTGCAGAAAGAACTGTGTGTATTAATCTGTAAAATAATTCATCAATATGCTAATTTATCATTGTTCCAATAAAATGGACTTTTGAAATTAGAAATTACTCTGGAGTAATTAAATAAATTTGATATGTTGCAACTTTTTATGAAGGTGGATTCCTTAAAAGGCTCATAGTTTAACATAGTATCTCAGTTATATTAGCCTTTCATATGACCTTCTCTGTTTTTAATAAGTTAATAATGTCTTTGAGACAAATCATTTAATGAAAAGAATAGTCGGTAACTTATGATATTTTCATTTAAGTGCTGTTAGACTACCAGAAAAAATTGACCATACTTTACATACAATTCCTTCCACCTTTGCTTTGCTTGGGCTAGTCTTGTTTTGGCACAATGGAGTATTGTCTATTTCTAATAATTAACAGGAAGCATCAGATTTGCAACGGTTTTTTTGTTTCATACAGACTAGACACAGACAATGCATAAATGCATCTGGAATAATGCTGTTGGAGAGAGGGATGGAGTTGGGCAATTAGGCACAGTGCCTAAATGCAAATTTTCCTGGTAGTTTTAAGAGGGCTTTTGTATTATATTTCTCATTAGCAATTCAGGCTATTTGAGTCTAAACAAACTCAAAGTAGATGAAAGCAAACCCCTTCTTCCAATAAGGTTAGAGAGCTGCAGAAAAATGTTGCAAACTTGCTGAATTCTCTGTCATTTTGAATGTGTAAAACAAGACTTAGGTGTCCTTGAAAAAGTACAGGATAATTCAAGCACGAGGGATGGGCTTGATGCAGTAGGTACAAGATGAAATTCTTTGCCATGTGTTACTCAGAAGGTGTGATGGTAATGGGTTTTTCTGGCCTTAAAATATCTGTGAATCTGCCAGTAAATATTAGAAGCATTTTCATAATTAAATGCTTCTTTCTCATTTAAGCATCACCCATTTCAGACTAGATTTTGAATATCATAAACTCTTGAGCTTAATTTGTACAACATTTAGATAATCCTAATTACAGTTACAAAAATAGAGCTGTCATTAACTTGCTGATCCCAGAGGAAATTTGAACTGTGAAACCAAAAATATTTGCAAAACGCTATCATACATTGCTGAACTTCTAAACACATTGCCAAATTTCTTATTTTATTTCTAGGTATTTTCTTCAGTATCTGTGACCTGCATTTTATTTTGCAAACTTCTTCTTTCTCTTATTTTGTCACTCTTCTTTCTTTGAGTATCAGTAAGGTTATATTTCTTCTTTCCTTTTAGATGCTTACTCTTCAAAATCTTACATGAGATGGATTGGTGTAAATGACCCTTTTAATAAATAGGTTCTTCCTGGAAGCATTTGCAATTCCTAAACATCTCAAAAAACATCAATAAATTTGCTTCTCCAACTCACCTTTTTAGTAGCAGAACATACTTTGTCTCAGAACAGAAACACTGAAAATACCCAACTGAGGATCTCAATCAGATTTAGGGTGTGGTTGTTTTTATTCTGGCTGTGCCTCTGAGAGATATCTTAATTCGCTATTGTTTGCTGCTTAGGAAAGCTGAATTCTGTTTCTGTGGGTGGGAATATTCTTTTTCAGATGGAAGTATTTGCCATTTGTTGATCCTAAAAAAACAAGTGTTCTACATTAACACACAGAGCTTAGTGTTAACATGCTAAATAGGCATTTCGGAAGTACAAGTTAGTCAAGCCTTATTCCTAGAACTGTCCTTGGCTTCAGTGAAGCTTATACAAATAATGAAGTAAACAGAAAGAAAAAATAATAATAATACAAAAACATTTAGTCAGAGTTCTGTAAGGAAATTGGAAATGTTTGCCAATGGAAAAAGTGAGGAAGTAAAATAAGATTCTCTTGAAAAATTATTTATTTATTTACCTTTGTATGAAAAATAAGACACATTGATAGTATGGAAATGTTGTAAGATTTCTCACCAAACATATAATGACCTAGAATGGTTGTCAGGAACAACAGCAGAAATATCTGTGGATTCATAGATTTCATTCCTGGAAAACGAATTATAATGGCATCAGTATTAAAAGCTGAATAAAAATAAAGCATTCAGTAGCATTCCAGGAAAACCACGTGTATGCTGCTCTTTATGGGAGGGACAGAGGTTAAATGTATTAAGGTCTGGCTTGCAGCTCTCCAAGTACTTTCCTATATGAAGTCATATGAGTATTTCTAATAGGATTCTTCAGGGCTTGCTTTATCCTCAACTATTTAGAGTTTCCATTGGTTTGGAGTCAAGTCTGAAATTACAGCAGAACACAGCTGATGTATTCACTGTATTGGAATGATAAAGAATGATGAGAATAAGCTGATCATCCAGCCAGGATGATTATGTCTCCTCTGGCCAGTTTGTTCACATCTTTCTTGCTCTCAAGTCACAAACAGTGTAATATTTAGAAAACATCACTTCCTTGGGCCTGTTGGCTGCCCTGTTTCCAAAGAGGCCCCTACATTACCTCATTGCCACAAGGTTTTGCTGGTGTCTCTTGCACAGCAGCTCCTGTTCTGCAGAACTGCTGGTCCGCCTCCCACCAGTTCTGTGGCCATGGGTTGTCCTCTTCCAACACAGGACTTTGGTTTTGTCTTTGATGAATTTTCTGAAGTCCATGCCAGGCCACTTCTGGATTTTGAGTTCTGTAAACAGCAACTCTGCCTTCCAGCATATACAACTGCTCCTTCCACAGATTTTATGAAGATACAAGCCACCCCTGTCATCTGGATCATTGCTAAGGATGCAAAGGATGCTAACCTGGCAGGGACCCCTGGGCATCACACTACCCATAACCAGCCACCTCAAACTGTTCATGGTGACCCTTTGGGCCCAGCCATCCAGGACATTTTCCACCCACTTCTATTCTACTCCTCCAGTCTGTAATTTTCCTGGGGACTGACTTTTTCTAGTTTATAGTTCCTAGAATCGTCATGGGATTATAGAATGGTTTGTGTTGAAAGGGACCTTAAAGATCATCTAGTTTCAACCCTTATGACGTGGTCAGGGTTGCTTCTCACTAAGTCAGGTTGCTCAGAGCCCCATCCAGCCTGGCCTTGAACAGTTCTAGGGGTGGAGTATCCACAACTTCTGTGGGCAGACTGTGCCAGTGCCTCACCACCCTCACAGTGAAGAATTTCTTCCTAACATCTAGTCTACACTTACTCTGTTTCAGTTTGAATCCCCCTTGTCCTGTCACTACATGCCCTAGTAAAAAGTCCTACTCCATCTCTCTTGTAGGCTGCCTTCAGGTACTGGAAGGCCACAATTATGTCACCCCAAAGGTTTCTCTTTTCGGGGCTGAACAATCCCAATTCTTTCAGCCCTTGCCTATAGGAGAGGTGCTCCATCCCTCCAATCAACTTAGTGCTGCCTGTGGACATGTTTCTGTATCCTACTGCTTTAGATTTTCCAACAAGCATAACATTTCCCTTTTTTCAATCATTAGGGTCTTCCCCTAATTGCCACTACTTTTCCTAGATGATAGAAAGCAACTTCCCAACGGCATTGGCCAGCTCCCCCAAGCAATTCATCTGGCACCATTGATTTTTATTTGCCCTATTTAGCTAAGTAATCCCTAACTTCATTTTCCTATACCATGAGCAGTACCTCTTCCCCTGTTTTTCCAATTCTGCTGCCATACAGAGACCTGAGAGTTCTTAATTTTAAGCTTCATCAATTACTCCCTTAGTATTCTTTCATTGCTTATTATAGCCAATATAGCAAATAATACAGCACTTCAACAGCAGTTTTCCCCCCAAAGTTCCAGAAGTTTTACAGGGAAAGGAGGCTGTAGAAACATCTCAGATGACTGTGCAGAGCACACTGGAGATTTGAACCAAATATGATTTTGATTCAGGATCTGAATAGTTTTTAGTGACAAAGTTTTAGATACTAATCAGAAAACTTGTTCCTTCTGAAGCAGCGAACACAACACCCTTTCATTTGCAGGTGACATTTGAGGTGTAAATGTCTCACACCTTTGAAGAATGCTTTTGATAGTAGTCCAAACTGAACAAATACAAAGCTCGGAAATAATTTATAAAGACATCTTCCTCAAAGGAGCAGGTTCTAAATTATTCCAGTGGCAGCCTCTCCAGGATATTGTTAACATTTATAAACCACAGAATTGGAACTTTCTAACTGTTTGTCTTCAAAAGTTATTCTACAGATTGGGTCTACAGTGCTACTGAAATTCTGAAGAGCAGAATTTATTGAATACCAATTTCTTTTTCCCAGAAATCCCTTTCCAGTGATATATGCGTTTTCATGCAACAATTTCAGTTAGTTCAGACATGGTCAATTTAAACCACAGAAAAGTATTTAAGTGTGAAGAAACCTGAATATACATTTGTATTTCATGTTGGCAAATCCTCAAGAAAGGATCATGGGCTGCACAGGAATGCAAGAGAGAAGGTACAAGGTTACTGTTCTGTCTCTGACATCATCTGCCATAATCACTGAACAATTTATAGTTCCTCAGCTTCTCTAATGATAACAGTTACCCAAGGGCTGCTTATCAGTTACCTTCTGTCTATGTAGTGCAATAAAGAGGAAGGAGTCATCATTACCTTCCTAATTAAGCTGGTCCATCTTCTGCTAGAATCATCAGACCTTGAAGCTATTTAGCACAAGAGCTTCACCTGAGCAAATGTCGTAGAGGAGTGTAAAGAAAAGAGCAGCCTAAGTGGAAGCATAAGCTTCCTATACATGTATTTTAGGGGCATATAAACAAATCTGTCTGCAAGGACAAAGCATGAGTCTCAACAAGAGAAGCAGTTTATTGGAATTCCCCATGCAAAGAGCCAGAAAACCTAATTAAGATTTACTATACATCAGGGCCAGACTGTCCACAGCTCTCAGCCCATGACAGAGTTCTGTCTCAACTGCCATGTGGAGCCTTGGAAATCCACCAAAGAAAATAAGCACTTTTGCTTTTGCAGTTCAGTTCTATTAATTATGTTAAACACGAGCAATGACCTCCTGGGACAGAAGAGTTTTTTGTAGTTGTTGCTGTTGTTTTTAAACAAAGCTGAAGTAAAGAAAGCTAGGGATTTTTAGACTCTGCTCTCCAGACTCCTGAGGGATTGTGGATTATTCCTAAAAATGTACAACCTCATCTCATACAAAGAGTACAAATTTGTTGTCAGTTGGGATAATCCATGTGTTAGAAAACGTTTATGGACTTAACATTGGAAGCAGTTGAAAACCATTAATGTGGCATTTTGGAGGAGAAAGAAGTTGAACAGCTTGATTTCTCAAAGGGTCTCTATCCGACAAGCAAAGACATGGGAGCTTAGAGCATTGGCATTTTACAGCTATCCCAAATTCCTTTGGGGATGAGCACAAGCACCTCACCTTCTGAAAGACACTGAAAACAACTTAGAGTTATTAATTCACTAATTAATTAATAGGAGACAGAAAAATTTAAATTCTCTGAGGACAGAGGTTATTATGAAGAATTCTAAAGCAGGGTGGTTTTACCTGAACAAGAATTGTCTCGACTGCCTGCCTGTTTTCCCCCAAAACCAAACCCACAGCAACAACAACCAAAGCACAATGGGAGTTGATGGGAGCTGGCTGAGAAAGAACACAGTGCTCAGTTGTCCATGTCTGATTAGAGAAATTTGAAGAAACAAAAACCAAAGCTATCACCAGTGAAGTCACAGAAGTGATTTTCAACAATTTTTTTGCCTTACATTCCTTAAATGGGTAACTGCTAGAGGAATAATTTCTAGTACTTTGTACACACATGAATTGCAGTTCATGTGAAATATTTAGGAGTGGGACATTTTTCTAATGTTAAGCTCTTGTTCAAAAGATAGAACA